CTGGTCACGTAGAAAAACTTGATCTTCAGTGGATTGGTCAATTATATTTGAAGGATAAGCTTAGCCCCGCACTGCTTGAGTTGCAACATTTGAATTATTTGGACCTGGGTTTGACAGATTTTGGAGGAAGTGAAATACCAAGATTCTTTGGTTCCTTCAAAAACTTGAGGCACTTGAAACTCAGAACCTCAAACTTCACTGGTGAAGTTCCTTGTGAACTTGGAAACCTCACAAACCTGCATACTCTCGACCTTGGTTATAACAATTTGAGAATCAAGAACCTTGAGTGTCTTTCTCATCTTTCTTCCTTATCAGTTCTTGACTTGACTGAGGTTAACCTTTTAAATCAACCCAACTGGTTTCACCACATAACAAGGTTCCCTTTTCTTCAGGAACTGTACTTGAGAAGCTGTCAAATTTCCAACCCAATTCCTTCCTTTGATATGTTCACTAATTCTTCTTTAACCTATCTCACTGTCCTCGATCTATCCTTCAATTATCTCACTTCCTCTTTCGCATTCCACAGGTTGTTTAACTTTAGTGCAAATCTTACATGGATAAACCTCTCATATAATCAATTAGAGGGTCATATTCCTGATTCCTTTGGGGAATTGATTTTTCTTGAGGGGCTTTATTTGAGTAACAATAAGTTGCACGGCGAGATTCCGAAATCTTTGGGGAATTTAAGTTATTTATATGCACTAGATTTATCATACAATGAATTAAAAGGTACCTTTCCAGATATTACAACATTTTCATCCCTGTTATTTTTGTACCTTAACAACAATAAGTTGAAGGGGTTTCACACACCAAGCCCTGGACAACCTTCAATTCTTTATACTTTAAAGTTATCTCACAATCAATTTAAAAGGCTACCCGAAGGTATCGAGAAACTTTCCAATCTCGAATATTTAGGAATGTCTTCAAATTTGTTGGAAGATACAGTCACCGAAAGGTACCTCTCAAACTTTGCCAACTTACGAGTCCTAGATTTATCCTTTAACTCCTTGACCTTCAACTTGAGCTCAGATTGGATTCCTCCTTTCCAATTGGAAGCAGTACAGCTCAGCCATTGCTATTTGGGGCCTCGTTTTCCAAATTGGATTCAAACTCAGAATTCTCTTGAACTTCTTGACATCTCTTTCGCTGGTATATCAGATGCAGTACCTCATTGGTTGTGGAATATGTCTTCTTTAACAAACTTAGTTCTTTCACATAACGATATTAGTGGTACAATTCCTAATTTGCCGTCAGGGTTGATTCCTCGCGAATTGATTGATTTAAGTTCTAATAAGTTTTCAGGTCCAATTCCATTATTTCTTTTTCATTCTAGAAATCTAAAACTTTCCAAAAATATGTTTATCGGATCCATTTTTCACTTGTGCACAATTCCTAAGGGCTTCATCATTGAGGTGCTTGATCTCTCGGATAACCAATTGGAAGGAGAGCTTCCTAGTTGCTGGATGAACATAAGTGGATTAGCTGTTTTGGATTTGGCAAATAACAAGTTCTCAGGTGAAATTTCCCTCACTTTGGGCAGTTTGGATCAGCTCAAGATATTACACTTGCGCAACAATAATTTCATTGGTGAATTGCCTTCGACTTTGGGGAATTGCTCGAGGCTAATAACGCTTGATGTGGGAGGAAACAAGTTAACAGGTAATATTCCAGCATGGATAGGAACAAACTTAACAAATCTGACAGTTCTTAGCCTTCGATTTAATGAATTTGATGGAATCATGCCTTCAACAATTTGCCACCTTACCAATATCCATGTCTTGGACCTTTCTGGAAACAATATTTCAGGAAGAATATCAAGATGTTTAAACAATTTTACGGCTTTGGTTGAGAAGAATGGTTTAATTGAAGATGCTGGACATTTGGAATATGGCCTTTTTGACAGTCTTTTTGAATTGTATGTTAACAATGCTATTGTTCAGTGGAAAGGACAAGATTCAGAATACAAGACGCTAGGACTCTTGAAAGGAATTGATCTTTCTGGAAATAAGTTAGTTGGAACCATTCCTCAAGAGATTTCTGATTTAAGAGGTTTAGTTTTCTTGAACTTATCAAGAAATCATTTGACGGGCAATATCATTTCAAATATTGATCAAATGGAGACGTTGGAATGCCTTGACTTGTCTAGAAACCAGCTTTCAGGAGAGATACCGAGCAGCCTTGCACATCTAAATTTTCTCAGCGTTTTGAACTTATCATACAACAATTTGACGGGAAAGATCCCTTTAGGCACTCAACTACAAAGCTTCAACTCCTATGCATATATTGGGAATACCCAACTCTGTGGGAAGCCTCTGGTAGAGTGTCCTCGAGATATTTCTAACGGTTCTACTACTGATCATAGAGAGGGGAATATTTTTGAAGAAAATGATGGGTTTATAACACGTGATTTTTATATCTGCATGGCATTTGGTTTCTTTACTGGATTCTGTGGTGTTGTTATAACTCTCTTTCTCAATCGTTCATGGAGAGATTCCTACTTCAATTGGTGGAACAACATTGGAAGCTATGTGACAGGATTCATGACAACAACTGTGGAGTGAAGGTAAACATTTAAATTTACTTGATCAATCTAGTTGTTTAATATCCATATCTTGACTTTTTTCAATACTCAAATCAGAGCCCCTTTTGGAAACAAGAAAGTGTCGACTATCATTCGAACAATTTGTTGGCTTGAGAGGTGCAGGGACTACGGATGGCATTGTTTCCACTCTAATAAACACCATTGTCTTATTTTCTAAGTATTTGTAAAATACTATAATTTGTGAGTTATCAACAGGTAACTGGCTTTGTTGTGGGATGTAAAAATAAATTCTAATGGCGATCAAGTAGATGGCTTGATTAAATAGTTCATATAGCTATTTTTATTCATGTAAATGACTTGTTTAATTTGTACGTATTAGACAACTCAATCCACTCTTTAGATTCGTGAGTGCAAGATGCAATTAAATAATTAATAAATTTTATACTCCACTACATGGTGGAAACTATCTAATTGTACACTAATAAATTAGTGAGGGTTGAGTAACGCTTTAAGGAAAAATACAAAGTAACAACATTCTGAAATTTAAATGTATTTTTTGGCCCTTGAGGAGCCTTGACGGCTGAGGTGCTAATGAGAGTGTGTGTGTGTATATATTGCTTCTTAAAATTGTCTGTTCCTTAGATAACTAATCAAAGGTACGAGATTTTTTTTCAATTTCAAATAAAAATAAAAATAAAAAATGCATAGCTTAGTGAAAGATCAAAACACTGGAGATGATGAAGACATCGGATCATACGGAAGATAATAACCATGATGGGGGCGGATAGCAAGGCCTGTATGTTTGAAGATTAAGTCTTGATCCCTTCTTATAAGAGTGATACAAAACACACACACGCACACACTACTATAGTTATTTTCCCTTAAAGGAGGCTTATATCCACTTAATATTGACCCCAAAACATGTAATATAGCGTTGAAAATATTGTTCAAAAGTTAATAAAATTGGTTGTGGAATCAAAAATAGATTTTGAGGCCAAAATGATGAACAATGCAACCGCATAGTTCCATATGGCATGCGGTCACATAGCCATATACTGGGACTAAAGGCCCCGTGACTGAATTAACTATGTGTTTGCATAGGTTTGGCCTATGCGACCGCATAGAGAAAAAATATGGTCGTTTTATGATTGTTGCTATTTGAATTTTGATGGCTTTTCATATGATTTTGGCACCATTTCGTGGAAAACTATTGAGGCCTATATATAGGTGATCAATGTTCAAAAGCAAGAAAATAATAATTCTTGGAAACATATTTATTCCACACAATAATAGAAATCAAAAATCCCTTCTTGCATATTCAAAATTCCCTTTCGTGTTCTTAAAGTTTTGGAGGAAATCTTCCTTTTGTTTTCTCATATTTTCTAGTTTTTTGTTCTTCGCTTTCATATCCATACCTCTTCGTGCACAATATATATTTTCCAACATATAGTACGAACAGTAGACAATCTAATACTTACATGGAATAGTCAATATAACCAATATTAGTTCGATCCTTAATCTATATAGTATAATTGAGGGACCCCTCAAAAGCCATTTCCAGGAGGTGTTCAAAAGGAATGTTGAATTTGGGGGTGAAGACTTCTGAATTTGATCATTTGATGTTATTGGTTCTGTATATTGCTCTTTGAACACCTAACGTGTGCATCAAATTCAAACAAACCACATCGACATAGCCGGTGACTCGAACACGTGAATTTGATCAGCCTTATGAACGGGATATTTTTGTGCAGTTTTGTGATGGCAGTAGCTGCATTAGTCACATATTTATTGATTCAGTTTCAACCTTGTCCATCTGATATTTCCTTCACAGTATCAAGACTGAATGCTAAGATCATTTAAGAGAAGTCACTAAAATCCATGGTATAATTAATTGTCTATTACTACGAACGAAATATGGCTGTCAAGTTTTCTCTGAACTGGCCTTTTGCTGTAGCTATTCAGAAACATGAAATTGAGTAAAAATCATTTTTTCAGGTACTGTTTAATCCAACACATCGAACGTTATGATCAACACGAGAACAATAAGTAGTTAGTAATAGATATAAATCTTCCCAATGGAATAAAATATATAGAAAGAAATCAAATAATACTGTGTCAGATCAAAAACTAATAATTGTCGATGATTAGATTAAACTTTTCAATGAAAACTGTCATTAGAACTTTCCATTTTTTATCCACACAATTCATGGAACTCATACCTTATAATTATTTATAAGCACTCAAAGATGTATATAAAAAAGACTTGAGTTCAGAATTTTTGTCTATTATAGGGTGACGATTGGATCGAGCGGCTCGTCATGACTCGACCCATGAACGTATTGTCAGCTTCATACCCATTACCATCAGGCCCAACACACGGCCCAATTCATCACCTTCTTCAACATATCAAACCCTTATACAATACTCACCGACATCTCCACATCGTTGGCACCCCCAAACCATCCACAACCTACAACACCGGCTCCACTACCTTCAACAACCGTCGGTTCTACCTCCATCATCGATCAACAGCCACTGGCCTTAAAGATCCATCATTCCTTATCTCCATCGCCATAATCACTTGCCACCATGTAATGGCCTTCTAGTTGGGTACCGCGGGCCACACATAAAACCAATTTGATCGACCCATTTACTATTGGAAATTTAGTTAACATGCACAATTGAATTTAAACATATTTCAATTCCCACCAAAGATATGTTTTGTATTTAAATAGAAACTATGATAAGAATTATACATTTTGTAGATTTTGCAATATCCTTTGCTAATCTTGGAACATGAACAATCACAAGAGTCATCGTCCCCACCCAAGCCCAAATCCAAGACAACAGTGTCTCCGTCAGCACTAGCCATCGCCACCACCCTTTCTCACGTAAACTAAAGCAAAGCAAGAAGGTCCCCTTGTTCAAAAATGGGTTTGCAGAGAGGTCCATGGACATCTAAAAAAGACACTTTTCTATCCAAAGAGTAAATATCAATGTTGTGTTCAGTCTCTTGTGATAGGGTACACCATTATTTGAAATTATTGATTGTTCAATACGGATTTTCATGTGAACATGTTATTTATGTTTAAGTTTTCTATTTTGTTAATCCATCAACTTCTACAATATCGTACAACAACAATTCAATTCCCGTACTTGAACTAAAATTTAAGGGCTGAAAAGCAAACGTTTGTATCGTTCTTAATTGCATGGATCTAGACCTTGTGTTAAGGACTGAACAATCCGTTACTCTCATGGATAAGAGTTCCACTAATAAAAAGGGACTTGGATGAGTGAAATCATTCAAACTGTACAAGTCTTATGATTATGAAGCGTGGAATTCCAGCAACATTCAGGGGCACTGTGTTAGATAAGGTAACTATTGTTATTTCGCACGGGTAGTCGCTAACAATTAAAAAAGATTCAGACGATTAAGTAAGGGACAAAACTCTTGAGATAAAGTCCCAAAAA